TACTACTAAAGGGTAAGGCAGCCATCCTCGATCCTAAGGTAGTACTAGTAGTAATAGCTGTTCATTGTTGCTGTTATTGTATGTTGTTAGATGGGTTGGAAAACTACCCATTTCTGGGGTCCTATGGCTAATTGGGGTATTGTTGCTGCTGGTGTATTGGATATGACTACTCAAGGACCTGATATGATATCTATACCTATGACTGGTACTTTATGTGTTTATTCTCTATTATTCATGCGTTTTGCATATATGGTACAACCTAGGAATTATCTATTGTTATCCTGTCATATCTTCAATGAGGTAATAATACTATATTAATATCATTATACTTTATCATAACTATTCAGGGTGTCCAACTTATCCAACTTGGTCGTGCTCTCAAGTACCAGAGCCAACAGAAGCTTCTAGCAGATCAGCGTGCTCAGCAACAACAGCAAATGATGTCCATCAAGGCTACTATACCTGAGGAGTCGGCTAATACCACTACCACCACGACCAAGATGATGATGACCCCTTCTATGACCAATAACAAGTCAATGTTTGCAGCTACTGCTGCTGGTGTTGCTGCTGCCAAAGCCACTAGTGACCTTGCCTCTAAGGCTACTACCACAGCTGCTGCTGAGACTGTTGTCAAGTCTGCTGCTGCTACTCCTGCTGCTAAGACAGCTCAAGCTGCTACTAAAGCTGCTATTGAGGGTAATAGATAATGAGTATAGGAGTTTATTATTAATTAGGTTCGTTCCATCCCGTCCTAAAATTGAGGTCTAAGATATGTGCTCTACCTATGCCTGAATTATTAAGGAAGTTCTTTATGCATCCTGCTGGACCCTTTACCATATTCTTCTGGGCTCCTGCTATCAAATGGGGTATATCTGCCGCCAACTTAGTTGATTATAAGAGACCTGTTGAAAAGGTTAGTATCCCTCAACAGCTTGCTTTATTCGCCACTGGTAATAATACTAACAATCCTTAGTGGAATGATAATCATCATCTTAGGTGTTATCTGGGCTCGTTGGTCATTTGTTATTACACCAATTAACTACAATTTAGCAACTGTTAACGTGTGTCTAGCCTCTACAGCATTCTATCATTTGATAAGAAAGGTAATAATACTATAGTAGTAATGATGAGCATGCTATTATCCAGTTGGTATATGATCCCTTCCCCTCGGTCGTCGTT